TTCTCCCTCTTCATGGTGCATCCAAGACAGTCAGCAACTCAGTGCATTCAAGGGGCCAATGCCGGTGCTGGCCCAAACAGTGGGATCCAAGCTGCCACTGAAGACACCTGCCTTGAAGACGTAAAAAGTGGGCAGGTAGACACAAGTCCTGGGGTCAGACAAAATCAATTCAGTAACAAGTGAGAGGCGAGAGGCATGATTTGGCTTTCAGTGTTTGAGTGGAGTCTGTATGCGGGGCTTGTCTTATCTTGAGACTTTCAGTCTGAGTGTCAGAGAGTGTCTGAATTAGCTTAGCAGTCGCATGTCTGCTGAACCAGCCAGTTCTTCCACTTCTTCCCCACTGAGCTTCTGACAGCATGCCAAGGTCCAGGGCCTCAGAAAGGAAAGTCGATCGAAACCAAAAAAAAAAAGAAAAAGGTGGAGCATCAGTCATCAATGCAGGATAAGCAGCACATCTCCACGTGATCAACCGGACAAGATCAACAGAGTTGCTGTGTGTGTGTGTGTACATTAATTTATATATATATATACAAGCAACTTGGAAGGCAACGCAATTCATCGAGCTGAAAGCATCAAAAACTTTAGACTTTAGCCCAACAGCTCTTCCAAAAACAACAAACAGCTTCAACTCTGGCTTCACCACGACTTTCACGTGCACCGAAAGCTGTGCTTGAAAGACCAGCCGGGCCAGCCAGGCCTTGCCTTCGAAAAGACTTGGGCTCCAAGCTGTTTGGGCGCCCAGGGCCATAAGCCCAGGACCATCGCGCAACTTCGCCGCCCAGGGCTGTGTGGTGAACTTCTCCTTGGATCTGGGAACTCCAGAGCTGCAAGACTTCAAAGATGCGTTTGAGGCATGAAAGCGAAGCGGAATGTTCATGATGCTGTTGTTAACAGAAGGCGGTTCACCAAGTCTGACAATCCATATTTTGCTGAGAAAGTATGCGCGTCTGTGTCCACCAAGCTGCTACACCTGTGAACATCCGCTTGAAAACATTGACCTCCAGCGCTGGCCGCAGCGGGAGACATGTTCGAAACAGCCAAGAAATGGAAGCAACGGTCAAACGGCCCCGGAACACCTACTGTTCAGTGAAACCCTGAGAGCTGAGACGATGTGTTCAAGTTGAAATCATGAGTTTCCGGCCTGGTACCAGTACCTCGGGCAATTCAAGGCATCCCGGCCGCACGATCAAACGTTCATGACGTTCATTGCGTCAGTGTCTCATGTGCCAGTCAAAACCCGTCAAGCCACTGGAAGGCTCCCAAGTATACAGCGCCAAAGAGACAAAAGACCTGGAAACGATGCGTTTGGGCGGCACAGAAAATTGTGAAAATCTGAGAACATTGCTAAACTCACTATGTGGCCTTTGCAAGGAAACCCTAGAACGAGTGGCTCTAAGGACAGAGCCATATTCCGCTTCCAATCCACTTCTTTCAGGGACTTGCGCTCGATCACGCACTGTGTGACCAAATCTGCTGCGGAAGTTTTCAACGTCGCAATGATCATGTTGTTCCTCGGGAGTTCAGCAATGTCATGAGTCGGCTCCAAGGTCGTTTAGTGCACGGCGGAGATATCATACGGAAGACATGGAGGCAAAGTTGACACGGAGCCGACAAAGAAGTAGGTGCACAACTGGAAAGTTAATGATACACCGGGTCCTATTTTAAATCGCGGTGAACACTCACCGCGCGTGGGCACAGCCGGCAATGCTCTAGGGGTCGCTAAGCCTCTCATGGTCACGTCACCTTGCAGGCTCCAAGATCCAATGCTGCCGGCCTGATTCATCATCCACATGCCAAAGGTCACATTTCTTTCCATCGTGGGTACAGTTGAGGTATTTCCTGTCGCCATTCACGCCCTCGACAATCTGAATCTTCCAGGAGCCATTGAGATTCCGCTGCAATGTCCAACGCTGGCGACCAGAGGCATCATCATGTGTCCACAGATCAACCGTCTCTCCATCCTCGTGGCAACTGAGGTACCTCCTCTCCCCTGTGCCAGCAAGGACTTCAACTGTGAAAAAGCGCCCGGCGCTAGTCACCCGCCATACCTGCCTGCCGCTGCGATCCACTTCATGCCAAAGATCAACCCGTTCCCCATCATCTGCGCAACACAAGATCCTCCTTTCGTTGGCGCCGCCCCTGGCTCTGATGATGTAGAGACCGTCCTGCAATGCTCCCCAGGCAGGAGGGGCGGCAGGAGGGGCAGGAGCAAAAGCAAAGGCGTCGACAGCGCGATGACCTTGCTGGACCACATTGTTGGCGACGTGTTGGGCAGCATCTAAGCCGGCATGAGCCACTGGCCTCACCACATTGCTCCACATCCAAGACGCAATTGGACCCCAAAAGCCAAAGGTACCCCCCTCAGGAGGCATCAATGTGTCCACAGCTTGGACAATTTGTGGGGTTGCTGGAGGTTGACGCATCCCGGAGGCCCTCGCCCTCACAGAGTCTGAAAGTGATCGAAGATCAGGTGATGGTTGCAAGGCTTCATCATATGCCTTTGGAAGATTAGAGACCTGAACATACGGCTGTCCATCCCCATTCACGTCTGCCATGTTGTTGCCGACGTAGGAAACGCGAGAGTCAGCACAGGCAAACATGATGAAATAGTTGTAGCCTGGAATCTCCATGTGTGACAGTGTGAGGTTCTGCGCAGGCTCACGGCAAATGTTCCAAATGACATGATTGAGACCATCCTGATTGTACTGTTGGAAGACTGCCAAGATTGTCTTCAATCGAGCATGTGGGGCCCACAGCTCAGGGTGCGGCTGGTCACGCTGAAAGTCAATGGGAAGCAGCACTGAAACTGATCCACCGCCAGCAGTCACACCATGCCCCCCAACATAGATGATCACAAGGTCTCCGTTGTGGACTGCCTGGGCGGCATGCTGCAATTAGTTCCCAATGCCGGCCATGCCAGCTATTGTCGTGTTCTCGATTGCCGGTGGAACAACCAGGGCATTCAGAAATTTCCGGCGAAGGGCTGCTTCCATCAATCGGACATCATTCTGCATCACATAGGCAAGGTTGTTTCCGCCTGGATAGTTCCAGTTGGCCAACACAATGAAGTGGACCTGCTGCACGTGCGCCATTTGGGACACAGGCCTGGACCTTGTTACAAAGTGCTTTGAGACAGAAAATGTTCTGGGATTCACCATTTCGACCAGGGCGCAGATGCAGAACTACCATCTACTACCAAGAACCATCACCAACTCGAGTCAGTTTGAGTCAGCTTGAGCGCTCCAGAATGCTCCATGTGTGAAAATCTGAGGCCCCACAAACCCTTATCAGATTTATCAAGTATCAACACTGAAATGTTCTCACTCAACCAAAACTCATTGACAGGTGCATACCAACTTCAAGCAGCCAGACCGGAGCAGCTGCAGGTGGCGTCAGTCTTAGAAATACAGGTGGCTGTAAGGCTACAGTAGCCGTTGATAAGTAGTTCCACCAGGACGTCCAAAGTCCGTCCCATGAGATTCAGGATGGCTTGTGGCCAAGCATCGCAAAGGGAAAGGCCTTCGCAAAGGCCACATAAGACCACCGGCTCTCAGCGGTCTTGGCAGCTTCCTGTTGTGCGCAAACGATGCGAGAAGAAGTCACAGTGAGCAGAACGACCACCTAATATAGCTTTTAAGATCCGAACAAATCAGATCCGACTGATGCTTCAATCGAAGACTTCAGTTGAATCAAACTTCAATTGTATATATTTATGTTCTAAGAATCCAATAGGCCCAAAAACTATGGTCTGAGAGTCTGGGTCATATTCTTCTGATGCATGGTCTCCGGACGCAAAAACTCTCACCTCGGCTGCCATGGTCGCTTTGGAGCGAAGCGAGCGAAGCCCGCAAGGTCCGCAGTTGCTCCATCCTTTTTCGGCGGTACAAAAGGGGACATCCCCGTGAGAAGATGAGCAAGGCATTTCAGCAAGGCATGAGAAGGGTGTTCTTTTGGAGCCAATGGGTAAAAAATATGTCGGAACTACTGAACTGCTCAGGATCAACAGTTGGAAGAGCATATAACGTTCAGGGGCGATGTTTGTCATTGCTTTCCAAACACTGGAAGTGGCTTCTTCAGACACTCCAAACATCCAGTGACAGAAACTTGCCAATCAATTATCAATTGTACTAGTAACAAAGACGCTATTAGGTGGAGGCCATCGCAAGTAGGCTGGAGGCCATCGCTACTAATAACAAGAAGCTATTAGTAACAAACAGCGGAGTCTGCAAAGTGATTTCTTGCTCGTTGGCAAATGTGAACACCTTCAAGCGATTCGTGTGCCTGCAAATCGTGCCACAGGCGGGCGAGTACGGGCCAGAAGCCGGAGAGCCGACCTGGGAAGCCGAGCAGTTTCGCTCCTGTACCACCCCGGAAAGAGAACAAGGCACAGGTAAATCAAACAAATATTGTGATGAAGCACTCCTAGCATTCCAGAAACGTGAAAGTGTGTTTCGCCAAGCCCCAAGTTGGTTGTCTTGGGTCTGAGGTCCAAGCATATGTCCCACTGCGCACTGTTGGGACTGTTCAGCTGTGTTTGGGCCCAACTGCGTTAGAGAGAATTGCTTATGAAAAGGAATTTTGCAGCCAAGAGTCTAAACAATCCCCAGCCTTGGCAACTCAAACCTGTGGCAATGACAACACCAGCCAACCTGCTGGCGCTGACTGGGATTTACAATATTTACATCTTGAAGCAACCATTGCAATTGCCCACAGATAAGACACAAATGTCCAACCATTCCAAAGATATATAGGTCAACACCTGGTTGGTACTTGTGTTCCGTCTAAACATCCCGGGAGGTGACAAACATTACAAGCATTTTTGCATGCAACGAAGTTTACCTGTCATCAAAGGAGAGAATGAGTGGATTGCATTCCATGGCACAGCTCCAAACACTTCGTTTCAGCACCTTTGACATGCTACCCCTTGAGGTGGTGCTAACGCCGCATCTTTTTGAGTCCTCCGTTTGCCGGCGAACGATGGCCATGGCGTCCCTTCCGCTTCAGGTGATCTCCCGATTCCATCGTGTGGCCGTGGCAGGCTCCGCCCTCTTTGGTTGACGGATATGATGACAATCATCCTGCCTCTTGGAGGGATATTTGGTATAAACCAGCCTCAACTGATAGCCGATAGCCAATCCACAAGTCAGCAACGCTGGAGTTTGTTTGCAGAGGCAGCCAAGAAGCTGCCAAAGTTTTGTTCTTCTTGCCTGGAAGGATGCCGCACAACACATCAAATAGTATTCCTGAGCAACAGAAAATCATCGTAACATGTGAGAAACACATTCTACTATATCAGCCAGCAAGCAATCAGTTTCTCAGCATATGTTGTCTAGTTGTCAATTGTCAACAAAAGTTCCAGAAAAAAAGGTATGTCTTCTGGGATTTCGATGCAAGTATGTTGGCCAGTTGCCTCTGCGTGCAAGACTAATGTTGAACGCGGCCCGCACTCCCCCAACCCTAAGAGGCTACATTCTCAGTTCGATGTTCATAACAAACTCTTCTGGAGCGGCATGACAGGTCCTCGCTTCTATGGTAAAACACCCTAAATCTGGCCAAGGAAACGCAAGGCCCAAGGCACCCACATCCGTCGAAAGCGCAAGTCAAACTCTTCAAGTCCTTTCCAGTTGTCAAGGTTGTCCTTCCATGCACGCAAGGTCTTTGCATAGCTCACTCCAAAGCTTTGCCAGTCTTCCAAATGCCACCGCTCCTGAAAACGATCACCCCATCCTCTGAGGGTTTGGGATGTACAGAGTCTATGGTTTGCGGTGTATACAGCCATGTCTCGTGGCACTCACTGTCAGTCCTCTCACCCCTCAGTCCACCCAAGAGTCCTGAAAGCCTTGCGTGAAATGCGACCTTGGCAAGCTTTATAATGTTACAAACTCTGAGGAAGACGGTTCCATTCTTGAGCATTAAGCAAACTAGGCAAGGATGACTCCTTGGGAACACAAAACAAATACACACAACACTGCCGAGGGGCATCGTCGGCAGTTCTGCACCAGGAAAAATGTAGGTGTTCATCCAACCGCCATGATTCCACTGTCCACTTCTGCAAAAGCCAATGGTGTGGATGACCATAATGCCGTCATCCTTTCAATAAAACAAACGTGCACGACCGCCTTGCCTGTACGTCCCTCAATGTCTCTCACATGCAGTTGGAGGAAAAATATCTAATATTAAGAGAGAGAGAGAGAGGAGTAGCTTCTTGTTCCTACGGGAGCTACTAGTAGCTTCTTGCTCCTAGTAGCGATGCCCTTTGTTCCTAGTAGCGCTGCCCTTGTTACTAGTCTTCAGCCAAAAGGATCAGAAAGGAATCTCCCGAGTTTTTGTCACCGGGACCTTCAGAAGCTCCTGGCATTTCTCGAAATATGTCCTTGGATGTTAGCCATGCTTCTGCTATCAAGGAAACGGATAAAGTTGACTTGGTCAACAAGGACCAAGATTAGTAGGCATCTAAGCTCAACAAGCAACGCCGTTGAAAAGGCAAGCAACTCGTAACAGTTCCGTCCGATGTGTTCGAAGATGCCTACCTGAGAAAGAGCTCATGGCCAAGGGTGAAGCTTAGAGAAGTGGAAACAGCGAACAGATTTTTCTGTGGCTTTCGGACTGCGCAAGGTTTCTCCCTAGTCCCTGCCCACATTGGATGCTGGCAAGTGCGGTCTCAAAGGGGCATCCTCCTACCATGTCTGTTCATGACCACGGCAAACTGAATTAAGCAAGTGTTTTGGCCCGTGTTCTTGGGTGCACTTGCCAAGAACTTTGATGCCCAAGAAGACAACAGGGGATTGGATGGTTGAGCCTCACAAAGCATGGAACATCATGAAATGAAATCCGGTCCAAGGTGCAGAGTAAATGCGATCAAACTGTCCAGTCATGCTCCGATAGTCTTGCAGTCTAATGTCCACCATGGGATTCTTGAAATGCTTCTTTGCGTAGGCGTGCTGGTCCTGCAAAGAGCAAGTCTCTACCGTCTCTACCTTTCTTGAAATGCCCAAAGACCGGAAGGCTACTCCATTCAATTCCCCTCTCCTCACACTAGCCTAGCACTGGTCAGTAGCAGCTTGTAAAAAAAGCATTTGCGTTCAAAAGTCCAATCCCGCGGAGATTGGACTTAGCAAAAACCAACCGCACCGAAACCGCGGTGCTTCGTTCCGCACCTCTGACAGGGTCACTCCCGTGACGTGGACGCCATACTCGGTGGCCATCAAATCCGCCAGGGCGCCAAAGCCGCAGCCGAGCTCCAGGACCTTCATCCCTCACCGTGCGGAGCGAGACGACGGAGACGGAGAATGACCAAACGAAGTCCAAACAATGTGTGGACTGTGTGGATGTCTGTAATCAGAGAAATGACCAGCCGTGGATCTTCGTCGCCTGGCTTCAGGTCCAGCTTGTCGGCCACCAGTCGCATCTTGGCTATTTGCGCCTCTTCCAAGGTCATTTCTGGAGTATGGTAGTAAGCACCCGAGTACCTTCACTGGTCGGAGAGCATCGAATCTGGGTTCAGTGGGGCCTAACATTTGCAGCCGAAGCACATCATGGTGGGGCCTAACATCTGCTCGTAAAGCTTCATGGAGATATCGTAGTGCTTGGCGATGTTTTCCTTGGCACCTGGCAGTCCCAGAAGCTCCAAGAATTGCTCCTCTACATCACAGAGGCTACTTGCTCTTTGAATCTCTTGACCTCTGCCCCTCTTAGATACCACGCATAAGTTCACTCCATCATTTCTTCAAACGTATGATAATGTGTTGCAATATTCGACACAAACCAACTTGTCTTCTCCCTGTCAACAGCTTTAGTTCTTTCCAGCCTGATGCTGACAAGTTGGTTGGGAAAAGCAGCCAGCTCACGCTGCCCACAATCGCGCTGCTCAAGAGCGGCAAGCCCAAAAGTCCCAAATCCTGGCATCTGCTAGTCTGCTAGCTTGGGCTAACGTTGAAAAGTCACAGCTCAATCAAAACAAAAGTACCTGCTTCAGCCTGGCTTGCTTGGAAAATGAATGTTGGATGATGCTGGATAGCCCGTGTGCGTGTTTTTCTCTGTGCAAAGGACTGTCTCATTAGCCTCTACCTTTCTACCTTGCGCACAACAAGTGGCTTTCGCCAGCGGTCGCTGTTGGGAATGACTCTGCAGAGGTCGTTCAATCGGGTCCTTCTTGACCACCTCTAGTTTCAGCATCTCAAAGACAAAACCTTCCAGATCATTGGACTCCCATTGTCCATCCATGTAACCTCAGAGAAAGCCATCTTGAAAAACCAAACGCTGCCCTGCATCATCCAAAACAAGAGTGGTCGAATACGAGCTTTGTGTAGCCTGGCGACTCTCGCCTAAGCCTAAATCACCCTGCACGAGCACGCGCCGGTACACATCCGGATCTTTGATGTACCAATACACCCCATCCGTGGGCGGAGAAGAAGGCATGCCTTCTGGCGAGTCCACCACTATGATGCTGGTGTACTTCTTTATGAGATCCTGAAGCGCACTCATAAGCAAACCTCTCACCTCATAAAAAACAGTTACTGCCGTTCCTTTCGGGAGAAAGAAGTAAAGTCCGGACATCGATTAATCTCCAAGCGGACGTCGACTGTTCGACGGAGCGCACACCGGGAGCGGATTGGTGGAGATCGGTCTCCTTCAAGGCGGATCCCTCGTTCAACTGCCGCACTGCCTCGAGGCCCAGGACACCGGTGAGGACGGAAGCAGCGAAAGGCAGGAGCAGTTGGCCTCCCAAGTTGGAAAAGGTTCCAAGAGATTGCGTTTTTTCTTGCCCGCCCCTTCTTACTTAATTAAATAGGCGTTCCTACTTAATTGTATAAGTAACGGCGACTAGTTCGCTACTAGGCTAAGTCAGCAACTAGTAACTTGACGCAGGATAGCTCGCACTTGTTCAAGGCGCTTCCTTGAAGAAGTGCTCCCACTAATGGTTTGGTTCCTAGATTTCTAGGGAATCTTAACATATACAGTATATAATGGCGTTGAAGTGGAGATTGTGTCTGTCATCAAATGTGTTTGCACACTGACAATCAATTAGAATGAAGTCAGAAGTCGTCGAAACGTTGCTAATTCACGTCAACTCATGCTGAGCTTTTTTGGGTCGCTCTGACCACTGAAGGTTGGGAGATGTCAACAACGCCGCCACACCGCCACACCGCCACACCGCCACGCCTGCAGCAAAGGATTGTCTAGCGACAGTTGCTGGGGCCCGCTGTCGGAGTGGGGCCCGCTGAGGTGCCCAGGTCGGTGCCAACTTCGGCACCACAAAGCCGCACCCGGCCGCCAAGCAGAGCGGTAAAAGCACAGCGGCTTTCCGACGTGCCATAGCGCTCAGAGGCAATGACTAAGTGTTGTTCGTTTAGTGTTGAATGGACCTATTCAGGTCGCGCTCTGCGAGTCAAGCCAAAAGAACAGTTCTCAAGCCATGTGAGATATCTCAGGCAAGGTGCATAGCCATTGGAATGAATAAGTGCAATCTCTGTTTACTAGCTTGCACATGGATGCACATGGCAGCTTGCAGTAGTAGATGAAACAGCCTTCATTGGAGCCTGAGACTAAACAACTATGGCAGCTGTACGTGTCACGTACAAGAAGGTAGAAGACTCCTCTTGGACAGCGCGTCGTTCCATTGAAATCCAACTTGAAAGGACACATGTTGGATTTGTCCATGTTTGTCCAGACTTCAGACTTCACCCGCTTGCATCAACAACCTGCCGGCGTCTGCAACTTTGCGGCGCTGCCGCCCCCTTCTTCTGGGAGCTTCCAAGTTCTTTCCTTGACAGTCTTCGTTCAAGCAATGCCCTGGTACTTCGTGGATCATAACACTGAATAACAAGTGAGAAACGACCAAAGAAACGATCACCATACACGGCCAGTGATGATGTTGGAGTCTTTGGTCCCTTTGCTAAAGACAATGATGTATTGACATATAGGGAGACCCACCAAAGACCAATAGGAAAGGAATTATCAACTGGTCTTATCAACCATAGCGCCGGGACTTAGCATGTCACCGAAGGATGCCTTCTATGATCCCTCGCACAAGACCTTTTCAGATCAGGACTTGAAATGCGAAAAAAACGGGCCACTTGACCAACACACCTGGACAGCACAGTGACACTCCCCTAGCCTGGCAAAGTATGCAAAGTGATGGACTTGAAACATCACGTCAATGGGCGAAGTGCCAACCCCAACATGTGGTAAATGCTAGCTGAAACTTTGATGTCAAAAAGATTGCAGAATGGCAACAGGTAAGGCATGAAGTCGATTTCAGGGTTCCATGCAAAACCCACATCTCGCGCATGTGTGTTTTTTTTCCGGTCACAAGGCTCTTAGCTCACCTTTCAGCTGTTGCACTTCCGCTCGAAGGGCATTCACATCCTGGCCCGCTGGAGCACCCTACCTCCGCTGGCTGCACCATCCACCAGACATCGCTCTTTTCGCCGTGCCAAGACTTCAGGTCTGGTCCAACATCCCAGAGGAAAAATCATCAAAATGGAGATGTTGGAAAATGAGCGTTACAACATTATCCATCCGATCCATCCGATCCATGGTCACTGCACCTTCCGAAGCTCGGCATGGAGCTGGAAGTTCTGCTCCATCAGTGCCAACTGAGCCTTCGCTGAGGTTCCGGTGCGTGGCGCGGAGCTCTCGAGTGGAGGTGGCTGTGGGACAAAAGGGACAAAAGACACGGCCCATCCCATAGATCTCGCCCTGACATTGGGACAGATATTACTTTTAAAAAAATAAGATGTTCGGAGCTTGGCACAAAAGTCTTCTCCCACCTCCTGGACCTCTTTGCGAAAGTCCTCTCTCAACTCCTTGAGCAAAGGCTCCAAGACCTGCCAAGGGATGATCTCAAGGAACCACTCGTTTTGCCATTTCAGGTAGAACCTTCGAAGAATTCTAGGCAATTGTTGAAAGTCACCCCCCTGATCCATACTGATCCGATGTTAGGAAGACTTCACTGAAACCCAGTTGCACCTCTGCCAGGGAAGCAGCCGGTGCAACTGGAGCCGCTGGAGCCACCGGAGCTGGAGCTGCTGGGGCTTCGTACTTGAGACGGCTTACCTGCATTGGGAGAAAAGAAGAAAGGCTCATCTCATCTGCAGCATGTGTTGTCCAACTTCTAAGTTCATAGCCCAAGAGCACAAGACAAGGAGGGTGTTGGAACTTGGTAGCGCATGCTCTGTTGTGAAAACGAGAGTGCGGCATGACTCCAAGTCGTAGAAGTGCACCTACAGAATCCAACACCTTGGGTTCAATCATGCCAAAGCATCCCACAGCCTCTATCTCTCCCAGTAACTTAGCCTAGTTCAGCCCCCACGTGCAAACTACTTGTGGTTGGGAAACCTACTCCATTCGCCCTCCGCTCGCCCTGACGCTTGGCGCATCGGCCTCGGAAGCGTTACCAGGTGGAGCCTTTGCCTCCTGTGCCTCCTGGGCCTTGCGCAGACTAGCTGCTGGGATGGAGTGGGGAACTATAGAGATGTGTAGAATCTTCGTTCTAATGTGAGTCATCTTCAATGAAGCCTCTGGGCCAGGTACCGTCATTTCAGCGACCTGCTTCCACCAAGGACTGGCAGCCTGAGATGATGTGAGAGGTGTCTTCAACTAATCGGATCTGCTTTGGGTGATTTGTCTCATCAGAATCAAAACAGACCGTCTGTTCGGGCTAGGGAACTGCCACACCAGGCTCATCTGGGCTGCCAATGGTGTATCTTGCCACCTTCAAGGACTTATGTGGGAAAAACGTCCGGAATGTCGCCTCTGTCATGACTAGGACACCTCTGAATGATTGAGCTTTGGGCAACTACATATTCAGTTGCATTGGCTTCTAGCTACTATGGCAAATCCGGCTCTGTTGAGTACTGCTTCCAAGCTGGCTGGCATCCATTCATCCGAACGTGATACGCCAAGTTCGTCTGACCCACCTGCCGGCCGTCACTTTGTGGCGTCTCCTCGGTACCGTTTGATGCAGTCAGTTAAAAAACGGATTCAACTATGACGCGGGCCGTTTGGTGGTCAAAAGCATGGTGCATCGTTTGGGGAGTATCTTTTGATGCTCTAAGAGGCCAAGTCCAAAATTGGAGCGTGGTGTCCACTAAGAACAAACTGTTGGTCTTCAATCTGTTAGCATTCTCTTTCACCTTCCCAGCATCTAGTCATTGCTCTCGGCCACACCTTAACCTTTGGTATCAGCCTCATGCGCCACCAAGTTCTTGGATCACCGTTGCGGGCGTACTTTTCATCTAGGCTTTCGAGCGGGCTCGTCTTGCTCTGATTCCCCGTTGTGCGCTCGAGACATGAAGGCAAAAGCGGTTTATCCACATTTCGCGATCTTTTGCGCACCAAGCAACAAGTCAAACCGCTTGAAGGGCTCTTCGTAAACTGCAGTCCAGTGAAAAAACTTTGAGACTGGGCACCCCAGCAGGAAAGTGCCGAGAGGAGCTGATATTGCCCCTGCACAACGGGACAGTCTGCTTACTCGCAGGCAGCTTGAATGGCCTCCAACCTAGAAGCGATGGCCTCCAACCTAAGAGCGATGGCCTCCAGTGAACGATTTTCTGCCCCCTAGCCTGTCGGTGCTCTGGGGCAGCGGGGGCACCTCAAACAAAGAGACATCACGAGCATCTGAGAACCATAGCCAATCACTTGCTCGAAGAACCCCGTGAAGCGTGCGGGAACACCTTCATACCAACGGAGACAATCAGTATCTGAGTGTGGGGGCACATCAAAACTGTCTGCTGAACTTAAGCCATGCACTATGAGCAACGATGTGGTATGGTTATACTTAAGCACATATGGAATGGAACATGGACCCTCAACTACTTGACAAATCACTTCCTGGGCATCTCTTTTGTTCTCTTAGTGAGGGCGAACCAAATCGAGGGCACCGGAGATCCGTTGCACGGGCCACTTACACGTTTGCAACAGGCTGGTAGGAACACAGTTCGCATGGGGTCTGACTTGACCAACAGCTCGCCTGAGCAGAGACACTTGGCCAATTGAAAGAGCTCCTGACCCCAAAGCATCCTTGTTAGTAGCAGCTTCTTGCTACTAGTAGTAATGCCCTTGTGCACTTGTTACTAGTAGCATTGAACATTCTTATCTCTTTTCCGCTTGCAGACTCGAAGGCTCCCTGGAGTGTGCTCAG